CGAGGTTTGAACCGCGGTCTAGTTGCGAAGGGAGCGCTCCGGTTTCTTCAACACCGTCGTCTTCAACCTTGCCTTCTTCATCATCAGTCAGGATGTCGTCATGTTGAGCCACCAGCGGCTCATCGGGTTGAACGGACTGTTCAGGGGTTTGCACGTCTTCCTCATCTTGATCCTCGAACTCGTACGGAGCAACAACCAAAGGAGTTTCGTCACGGATCTGGGTGGCAAACGGAAAACTGTTTTCATCGAACTTGACATCTCTGGCTAGGAATAACTGCTTCTTCTCTTTGTTCCACAGGCGGTAGGCGTTTGGCGCATAGCCGATCATCACAGCAGGCTTGCTTTTCGGATCCAGTTTCTTCCTCTGTGCCGTGGACACCCAAGCAAATGCTTTACAGCCGAACACACGTAGTTTACTAACGTCCGGCTTGTGACCAGTCCACATTTCCGCAGGAGTCTTCCAATCAGATACCGCGGTGGTTGGACTTCTGTTCGTCAGGTATACCGCCGCTAGAATCGCTTCATTCCACAGATTCTTCGGAGTTTGGGCTTCAATCAGCATCGCACGCACCTTTTCGACGATTGTCCGATTGAACCGTTCGGACACTCCATTCTGCTGTGGTGTGTACGCTGCGGTTGGCTCGACTTGGATCCCCTTGGAAACGTACCAATCACGCTGGTCATTGGAGCAATACTCGCGCCCTTGGTCGACAGTCAGCTTCGAAATCGAATGTCCCAGAGCGGCACTCGCCATGGCCTCGTACTCTCGAAACTTCTGGAACACCTCGGACTTCTTCTTGATGGGATATACTACTGCAAAGTGCGTGTAATCATCAATAAAGGTGACGAAGTACCGAGAATCATCCCAAGCCGCTGGTGTAATTGGACCGCACACATCGGAGTGCACTCGTTCTAGAGGTCTTGTAGCACGGACTCTAGTACCCGTGAATGGTTCTCGGCACTGCTTTCCGAGAACACAAACATCACAAAAATCCAATTTATCTGGTTTCTCGGGAATACCTGTTACCATGCCATGCTTCGCGAGTGTCTGCAAACTCTTGCTCCCCAAATGAGCCAGTCGACGATGCCACAGGTTACCAGTCACAGCTCCACACATGTTGGCCGCCACCGTATCGACACGGAGATCGAGCTCGTAAAAATCGCCCCGCATGGGACATCTCGCAATCAGGTCACGACCTTGCTTCATGATCGCTTCCTTTTTCGTGAATGTGACATCAAGATCCGCTTTTGCCATCTTCTTCACAGATAGCAAGTTCGCTCGAAGATCTGGTACGAAGAGGACGTTCTTCAAGCTGATATAGTTACCTTCCTTGTTGATGCCGTTGATCGTGCCACTGTGCCGGGAAATCAGGGATTGATCATCCTTCGCCACGTTTATGACGACAGGGTGCTTCAGCTTCGTGAGGTCGGCGAAACAGTGCTTCACATTCACAAGGTGGTCCGAGGCTCCGGAATCCAGCTTAAAGGAAACTGCTCCCTCGTCCTTTGTTTGGGAGCATCTCCCGGTCATAAAAGCCACCGCCTTACCTCCAGCAGCAGTGTTAGCTTCAGCGCGCCCATCTGTCTTCAACTTCACACGACAGTCCTTGGCCTTGTGCCCCTTCTTCTGGCAACGGTTACACTTTCCGGTGAACTTACCAGGCTTCTGCTTCGATCCTTGGAATGCTGCAGGTTTCTCTTGGCAGGAATCCGCTGCCCGGTCGGTTTTCTTGAGCTCCTCGGCAAGAAGGCGCTCGCGAACAACATCCAGTTTTAGGTTTTCCTCACCTAGATTTTCCAGTGCCGTAACCAACGGATCGAACGACTCGGGAAGGGTAGCAAACAGCTGGGACACAATATCGTTCTCTTCAAGCTTCGCTCCGGCCAGCTTCAGTTGTCGGATCAGCTCTTCGAAGGTTTTCAGGTGATCTTTCACAGACGAACCTTCCATCATTCGTAGCTTCGCAAGTTGCTTCCTGACGAATGTCTGCGACGAGACGGACTTCTTGGCGTAGGCGGATTCAAGGCTCATCCACATCTCCTTGGACGTCTCCTTGTCCCGCACCAAATGCAGCAAATCGTCATGAACAAATGACGTCAGCAGGAACGCCGCCTTACCGTCATCTTCCTGGAACTTCGTGACTTCCAACAGCTTCACGGACTTCAGATACTTCTCCACTCGAAATTGCCAATTGTCGAAACCGGTGCCCGAGAACTGCGGGATCCCGTGGACCAAATCCTTGCGTGAGTCGCCCATAACCTCTTGATGGTTAGAAAGAACCGGAACAGCAAAGTTTAAAAGTAGAATGGATTTTATTTAACGACTAGCTTGAGTGGAGTCTTGAACAGGAATGAAAAGTTTTTCACCGTTGTTTATTTAAGAAAACTTAGGTTGCTAGGGGTGACGTTCGGTCTCCAAGGAGGTGATCAGCACACTGCGTTACCGATTTACTCCAACAGCAAGCAAACCCAATCTTGATCGATCTTGATACCCGATCCAGGTTGAAACTGAATAATAAACGAATTCGCTATAAGTGTGTAGGGTGGGAGTGAACTTTCGTCCGTTCGAGTTCTGTGTTTGATTTTGTTGGGGAGCATTTTACTGACAGCTGGTGAAAAATTCGTACACCGTCCCTTTTCTTGTGGACGGGTCGTATAGGTTGAATTGCTTCCAGTTCATCTTTCTTTGCCCAATCCACTCTCATTTTAATGAGAATGCAGCTTAATGTTTGCCATGAACCATGGTTATGAATTAGATAAATTGAAAATGTAAATACAATCACGAACGTCTAACTTCAGGGTTGCCAATGGGATATTGACACCTTGATTGATATACTTCGGCCTACTTCGGAATGATCGGCACAAAGATTGGCTCAGCTTTCGGCACTGCCAAAACTCTTGGCACAGATTAAGGTGTGCAGAGTTGAATACCCCTTGTTCGAAGTACTTCTTGCTTGGAAGCCATCTCGATAACCACTTGACAGATTGTGCGAGATTTTGCAGATGTAAACATTACACTCTAAACTAGTTTTACTCAAAATTTCATTTTTACCCAGTCAATAAAAAGTTATACACAAACAACGAGTACAATCTTTATGTAGAATTTCCTTCTCTTCGATATAATTTATGCCCGGAATTCAGCTGCAGTTCTGTAAAAATTAAAAATAAATAAATTGCCCATATGCATCATGCTGTCAGTAGTGGTGTGTGTGTCATCCTATCAAATCTTTATGTTGTAAAGATCAGTACTTTAAAAAGGATAACTTTTTAGGCAACACAAGGCATCCTCAACAAGTTTAAAGAAATGATGTACTCAAGGGGTAGGTCACTCCGCACACCAATCTTGGGTCATCTTTTTTGTCAGTGTGCCTCAAATGTTCCGCAGGTTTGCCGATTGTGCCGGTCATAGAGCAAGCTGCGATTGTTTGTAAAATATCCATCCCGGCAACCCGGTATTTCTGACACATTGAATGTTTTGGTTTGAAATCGCAAGGATAAATCGGATTGAGGATGAAGCGGAAAGTGGCGGGTGTGCAAAATTTCAATGTTTTGTGTTCCATAGGGTAATAAAAGTTCTGTGTTTTAGTGCTTCATAATGCCCTCAAAGGCAAACCAGAAACCTAGTTTTTTCGTGATGTGAAAAGCATCGGTCTATCAGCAGCCGGAAAGAGTTGGAACCGGTGGGGAGCATTGTTAGAGACCGACTATAGAGGGTGATGAATAGACTTCTTTAGTTTGTTTTGTGTGATTTGCAGCATTATTTGAATTAAAGGTACTAATGAGGTCTGATTAACTGGCTCTTCCTCTTGAGTCCACTCTAGAACCTACATTTAATATTTAGATCTTTAAGTGAACTGCTGGTCTGAGTTCCTCTGATATATTAAATTAGAAGATGTTCCCGAACATACAGTCAAACAGCACGTAATGTTCTGAGCAACTTCAATGACAGCTGTCCAGCAGAGCTCCCATTTAATTTACAACAATCTAATGCCTACGAGATTGTGTCGAAGGTATGCCGAAAATGTGCCGATGGATGTGCCCAAGCTGTGTAGAATATAATTCAGGCACAATGTGCTGAGTGACTTACCCCTTGGATGTACTAATGTCCACAACAGGTACAGCCCAACATTACATTGACGCCCTTATTCGCACTATCTACCATTCAGTGGTAGAAGGAAAAGAAGAGCCACCGCAGCCAAATGAAGCTTGAACCGGGTACTTGGAAAATCCACAATACCCGCGTCAACAGCCAGCAAATGATGCCCTGTCGCATTTAGATTTCAAGTTGTTGCATTTAAAAAAGCATTTCACGTTATGTACTGGTATATTAAAGCTTATAAAATGAATGGATCTCACCAAATTTTGAGCCGGTTAGCACAAATTGTTCCAACAGTAGTATTATAGCAAGCAAGCGGCAAGCTAAGACTACTGCCAACTGCCAACTGTCCGACAAGATAACTCCTTTATAGAATATAGATATAGATCTTTTATAGAAGACGACAAATTCACTGCACTTTCCATCTTATTTTTCGACACTAAACCACACCACTCAATATAATTCACGGTGTTTCACGCACTCTAGAGGTATCCATTTTGCGGAAGATTCCCTCCGAAAATAAACGCCTTCACCTCAACAAACACAACACTTTAAATTTTCAATTTTCGAAATCAATTCCCCTCGACTAGGACACACTTCAAAAGCTTTTTGCCTAAATCACAATCATTTTTCAAATCTTCAAACGCGTTTGAAAAGTTAGTACGTAAAATGACAAAAATCAACTCGAAAAAATTGCAGCTGCAAAAACAAATCACGTCAACAGTTGTTACTTTGCAGCGCGGCCTACCACGATTTTTAGGCGCCATGCTGTCAGTAGGGGTGACTTTTAAACCTACAGCTTAATTAATCATCAAACCGTAGTAAATGAATAAAGGCTATAGTTAAATTCGAACTCGTTGATCTGCTCGAGCTCGAAATTAATGGTATTTAATGTCTATTTCAGCTAACCTGCCCTGAGCACGCAAAAGAGCACGATGATTCTCAGTTCGGTGCAGAGGAAATCTCACTACTTCATGGTGGAAAGGAAGCTCAAACTGAGATTATCCTGAAAGACAGGAGTGATCCAAAAAAGGTGGCAGAAAATCCATCGAGTATCCTTCGAGCACCCTGTACCAAATGTTCCCACTGTGGAATAACAGAGTCTAGTGCTGTCGCCTTAGCTCATCACATTCGAATCCACCATGATCCAGCTGCATGTGGTATATGTGGAATTACTTTGTCCACTCTTTCCCAGGCTCAGCATCACAAGGTTAGTAAACTGAGTTTTGAATGTTGTTAAATTAAATAAACTGTTTATCGTTCCATACAGAAAACGAAGCACAAGCTCTCGAAGCTTAAATGTCCACATTGCTCGATGCGATTTTCCGGGCGAGAACGCTTACAAGGACATGTATCCAAATGTGAGAAGAAGAAAGTTCCCTGCGAGTTTTGTGGTAAAATGTTTCAAGATGTAACTGCTGTCAAAAACCATTGGACCTTCGTTTGCCGTGCCTATAAAAAGAGCCAGGAGCAAGAGCAGAAGAGTTCCGAAGCACGGCCTCTTGTTGAAAGCGGCTCATCCCAAACAAAATGCTATTACTGCAACGAAGAGTTTTCCACTCCGGGGCACTTAAATCATCACCTGCAAATTCGCCATGAGCTGACCAAGTGTGACATCTGCGGAATAACTATTCTTGGTATATCACCAACTAAAAATCATGAGGTTTGTTGCACTCGTTTTTCTCAGTTGCTATCAGGCTTGATTACAGTTTCAAATTGTTTCTTAGAATGAATTATCAGTCATGTAACTTTGGCATTTTTAGGTTAAGAGTACTTTTTTTTTACATTCATTGAAATAAATAAACCTTTAGAATTTCCGACTTAGTTTTAAGATACTTCTTTGCCTACGTTTAGTCTTTTCTAGAATGTTATACTTGGTCTCAATGAAAGTTTTTACACAGCAAAAGAAGATGGAGTTAACTCCCAGCAACTTTTTTGTCTTCTTCTGGAAAGCCTGATTGCAACTGCATCTTTTACATATTTTTATTCAGCCTATATTGTTCAATGCAGATAAAATGCCACATGGAACCAAAATACAAGTGCCCAACTTGTGGGAAAAAATTTCACCGCGTAAGAAAATATAATGCACATTGTTTTGTGTGTGAGCATAAAATGTATTCGTGCAAGTTATGTGGAAGAACGTTCAATCAACCCCACTCAATCAAATTTCATAATAAACGATATCATCCTGATGAGACCGGTTTGGAAAATCTACAGATCGTCCAAGATCACAAACAAGTCGAGAACAATGACCTGCAAATAGAAATCACAGAAAAGGAAACTACTTCATCGGCACGTGAAGACCAAGAACAATCAACGGTGAATTCTTCCTCCAAAGATGAAGTTTCAAGTGGGTATAGTTTGACTTAAGATACGAAATCGAATAATTACAATTGTTTTTTTTTTTTTTTTCAGATTCTCGATTGGATGAGCATTCATTAGCTAACATGAACGATGATGACTTAATGGAGATCGAAGTGATCAACAAGGAATCCCAGATGGTTTCTGTTGCTCCATTGAATGGTAGTAGTGAAAGGCAAGTCGTTGCAGAGAAAACCTCTCAGCCCCTTGTTGAAAACCCATCAAACCATCCATATTCGTGCAACGTCTGTGGCATTACCCTGTCCAGCTTTAATCAAATCACTTATCATATGGTACGCTGGTTCAACAGATGATTTTTTCTCTCTTTGCAATACAGTTTTTCTGTTATTCCAATTCCAGCTGACCAGACACACGGAAGGAAAGTTCCAATGTCCTCATTGCTCGAAGAAATTTCACTTTAAAGAGAAGTTACAAAAGCATGCGTCATGTTGTGCACGTTTAAAGTATTCATGTGAATTGTGTGGTCAAAAGTTTAACTTCCTAAGCAAAGTGGAGAACCACAAGAAACGCGATCATCATGGCGACAGACCTTTGGAAAATGCGAATATCGATGTCGCAGATTGCACTGAAGAGCAAAAGCAACACAGTGTCGAGAAGACAGATGCAGCTCATGAAAACACTACTTGCATTATTTGCAGTATCACGTTCGCCAGTTCTGATGAGCTAATGAAACATAAGGTTTGTACGGTAGTTCATGATTATTTTAAGCTTTTCCTACTCTTGGGAATCAGACGGATTATTAAGCTTCTGTGATTCGCTAGGAGATGGCGCTGATGCATTATTTTTTGGCAAATGAAACTTTTTTCGGGAATTGTTTTTTTTTTTGGGAAACGTAGATAAAGGGTTTTCGGCGCAATCAACCGGAATAAATAAACTTAACACGTTTAATTTCTTATGTTCGAACTCGAACGTAAGACATTTTTAATCTACATGTAGTTATTGTTGTAAAAAAAAAAGAATGGCGGATACCATGGGCGCACGCCCAAAGTAAAGGCTGCGCACAGCAGGGACCGCACATAGTTTTTGTACAGTAGCGGGAAGGAAATAGGTATCTCAACACCCTCGCTCAATTTCCGGAACCTACAAATCCTAAATTGGTCCGATGCTGCAAGAATAACTTTTTTGGTGATCCATTGGTCATAATATCATGATAGCTGACTGGAACTTAGAACATACCGTACCAGTATTTTCCCTCGCTGAATGAGCTCTCGTACGAAACGGGATTTGATGTCGATGTGTTTCAGTCTGCCTACATCTCGCTCATCCTCCACTACTCGAATAGTTGACTGATTATCCTCGAAGTAAACGATTGGTTCATCCAGCTTCAGTCCCAGTTCTCGCAACAGCCGGCTCAGCCAGATTCCATGGCACACAGTGACACACAATGCAATAAGCTCCGCTTCAGTGGACGATAGAGAAACCACCGACAAACCGACATGAATGTTCACAACAAAAACAATAAAATTTCTGACCAAAGCACACTCTGACATCTGGCTCCGCGTTCGCGGGAAATATTGAGCTAAGTTATGAACCTGCATGTAAAAGTTATGAATTGGTTCGTTTCTGATCTATCATGGACACATTATTTTTATCTAGATCAAAACATTATATGGTTTTGACAGTTCGGATCACTGCACATTTAAATCAGCCGTTTACGATTTTCGGACATAAGTCAGGATTGAGTGTCATGTCAGTTTGTCGGTGGAGAAACCGTTGGTTGTTTCCTTGTCAACAGATATTTTGTCACTATGAGCCTTATGGATATGACAAGTAATTCGATTAGGCACTGGAGCATCTCATCCGATCACTTGCACTCCAACAATTTATCACATATCTAAGGGATGAAATCCATGTGAATTTCACATAGTTTTCCTGTGATCACATAGCAGCAAATCCCACTACAAAACCACATGAATATTATGAGGCCGATGAAATTCATATGTAAAATCACATAAAATTTGTTGACTTACGAGGAAATTGAAGGAATTGATTCGATAATAACTGGTTTAATGAACAACTTAAAAGAAACTTTATTGAACGTCTTTCTCTTCCGGTAGTACAGTAACGAATGAATTGCATCAGCCTACAAAATGGCTGATGTCGGTCGCTGCACGCATCGTAGTTGGCTGCGTCAGCAAAGCTGTCAAACGTGGAAAACATCGATTGGGCACACACTTATTACCAACACTCCTCCTCAGTGTGAGCCGCAGAACTACGAAACAACAAGCAATCCCATCATCTCAGCAAAACGACGAAGCTTTTGAGGTCCTAGAGGTTTTGTAAGAATATCAGCTGCCATAGATTCCGTTGGGCAGTACTTCAACTCAATCGCTCCTTGGTTGCAGAGATTCTGAACGAACTTTTCTCGTGTCTCCACGTGCTTGGACCGACGAGATGACCGCTCTGACTTCACGAAAGCTATACAGCTTTGGTTATCCTCAAACATAATCGTTGGCTGCTTCTGCTCTTCTCCAAGATCACGGCAGAGTGATCTGAGCCAGATGATCTCTTGACAAGATTCGCTTAATGCAACGTATTCAGCCTCCATTGAAGACAGCGTGACTGATGATTGTTTTCTACTGGCCCAAGCTACCGCTGAACTGCCGAATAAGAAACTGAACCCAGTCGTCGACTTCCTGCTCTCGATATCTCCTACCCAGTCAGCGTCGGCAAAACCAACCAAGTTTCCACTTCGTCCATATTTCAAGCTCCAGGTCTTGGTTCCGAGCAAGTACCGCAGCACGCGTTTAGCTGCAATCCAATCCCTCTCCGTAGGACAACTGACTCAGCGACCCAGAATGGACGTGCATGCACCGCAATGTAGAGCAGTGCTCCTACAAGACTGCGATACATCGTAATGTCTTCTAGCTTGTCTCCTCCTTCTAAATTCAGAAACCCTTCATCCATTGGTGTCTTTGCAGGTTTCGCATCATACAATCCGAAACCTTGTCATTTTTTTTTTTTTTTTTCCTTTTGGTTTGTTTTTTTCCGTTGATCTTGTTTTCCGTGCTGAGCACCAATGCTACCGACGTGCCAGGAAGGCAGCTCCCACACCTGGACCCTACCTATCGACCCATCAACTCATGAACCGGGGACCAACGGCTTTACTTCCCATCCGAAGGAAGGCGTGTTCAGAGATGTTATGCCTCAGAACATCCCGGCGGCGCCGACTGGGATTGAACCCAGGCCTGCTGGGGTGAGAGGTAATCACGCTTACCACTACACCACCGGCGCCGTTCACCTTGTCAATATAACCACGCAGACTCAAACTATATCCATCAGCGCTTCGTCCTACTTCCATTCCTAAGAAGTACTTTAACTCTCCCAGATTGTTGATGTCCAAATCCTTCTTCAGTTCCGTGAAAATCTGGCCGATGATAGCTTCATCCGCACATCCAACGACGATGTCATCGAAATATACTAGAAGATACACCAAATGTTTTCCAACAGTCTTGGTATACAAACATGCATCCGCCGAACTTTGCTTAAATCCCAGCCGTGTTAGTACATCATTTAAGCGACGGTTCCAGCACCTGGCCGACTGCTTCAAGCCATATATGCTACGTTTCAATCGACACACGAACTTCTCTCTTCCTGCTGCTTCGAATCCTGGAGGCTGGCGCATAAATATCTCCTCCTGAAGGTCGCCGTGTAGATAGGCAGTCTTCACATCCAGATGAACAAGTTTTACATTTTTCATGCTTGCCACTGCCAAGAGTGCGCGAAACGTAATTTGATTGGTGACTGGAGCAAACAGTTCCTCGAAGTCTACACCGGGCTTTTGAGAAAATCCCTGCGCTACCAGCCTCGTCTTATATTTAGTCACATTTCCTGTTGCATCACGCTTGAGTTTAAACACCCACTTGCTTCCGACTGCCTTCCTTCCCTGAGGTAGCTTCATCAACTCCCAAGTGTTGTTCTCGGAATGACTCATAATCTCCTCCTGCATCGCTCGTTCCCATTCAGATGCACTATCGGAATTCCGTGCTTCGTGCAAACTTAGTGGTTCAAACTCGTCCTCACATGATGCTTGTAGCCCAGCATTAAAACGTTCCGGTGGTCTTCCTTTAGTAACATGATTTGATCGTCGAGGCTCGGTAGGAAATCCCCTGAACATTTCAAAAGAATCTTCCGAAAAATCTCCTTCCGGTGCACTGTCGTAACTGGATATTTGCAGAGGGTTGTCATCTGCCTCTTGTTCCGGATCGATCACGTCATCCTCAAAATTTTCTTGCTTCTTACAGTTATCCAGTGTTACCTCGACATCGGCTTCTCTTGGTCGCATCCTCTCTCGCACTGTTTCGTTTGAATTCATTTCCAAGAACTTCGCGTCGCGGCTTATGAAAACGCGATCCGTTTCCGTTTCCACAAAACGATACGCCTTCCTGTCCTCCGCGCAGCCTACGAACGTCATCATGGTCGCCTTTTTATCCAACTTCTTTCTCTTTTGATCCGGAACATGCACCCAAGCAGTCGAACCAAACACTCGCATATGGTTGAATTTAGGCTGTCGCCCATGCCACAACTCGATGGGAGTGTATTCCATTGTAGCAGACGGAAGACGGTTACATATGTAGCATGCCGTCATCACCGCCTCACCCCAGTACTTCTTCTCCATTTTTGCTTCGGACAATAGACAACGTGTCATTTCCATCAACGTACGGTTAGCTCTCTCCGACTTGCCGTTCTGCTGTGGACTGTACGGCGCTGTTTGCTGAAGTGTGATTCCATTCTCCTGTAGGAACATTTTGAGTCTCGTGCTCGAATATTCGCCTCCACCATCCGTTCGCAAAACTTTCGGCTTTCTACCGAACATGTTCTGCACCAAACTGACATGACGAATCTTATTAAAAGCTTCAGATGTTACCTTCAGCAGATAGACGACTGTGTATTTACTGTAGTCATCTATCATCGTCCTGACGTAGACGTTGCCACTCGGAGTAGCGACCTCCATAGCACCACAAAGGTCGGAGTGCACCATATCAAGAATTTCTTGTGACTTTGATCGCGATTTTGGAAATGGCGCCCTGGCCAACTTCTCCTCACAGCACACACCACACACCGATCTTATGCCGCAGTCGGTTACCTTCAAGTTCCCATTCCTTCGCTCAAAATTCGCTTCATGGAATCCGGGTGCCGGTGACCTAGACGCCGATGCCAAAGATGCTGGCACAAGTCTGAATGTCCCACCGCTGACAAAACCGACTGCTGAACTACCTGCTTGATACAGTACAAACCGCCTTTTTGTTCACCAGTGATTACCACCTTGCCGTCTGCCGAAGTTAAAGCTCACCAGAAAACCTTCGTCGACGATCCGACTCACGGATAAGAGGTTTCCAGCCAAGCCAGGAACAAACAGGACATTTTTAATGCATATGATTTTCGATTCACCGTTTTCTGCCATCACAGTCAGCTTGCAGGAGCCCATACTTTTAGCTGAAATTTTGTTTCCATCCGCCAGACAGACGCTTTCACTAGAATCCACCAACGCGCCGTGCGGATCTATTTGCTTTTTGCTGAAGGAAGTGTTACTACTACCTAAAGCTACAACAAATTTAAACAGCACTTTTCAGTGCTCAACCTGTAAAAATTTTCTACCTTGTTCCAACTCTTATTCCTCTTCGATCCTTGTTTGGACCCTACCCGAGGTAATCCTTCTTGGATATCGATTTGGAAAA